AAACTCGTTGTTTGGAATCGAACTCAATCGAAAACAAAAGTATATTTCTTATCTTTGTGGGTGTGGGTGTATGTTTCTGTTCATCAACACTCACACTCACACCCACACCCTCAATGGAGTACAATCCCATTGTCACATCTTCAACGATCTGCCCTTAAACAGTTTGCTTCTGTTTTTAGTAAAAATAAAAAGTGTTCCAACACATTTAAGACTATGCAAGCTGGAAAAAATCCCTTCAAAGACAGATCTTTTTTGGTGTGTTGTTTATCATATAAAGAATGTCATATAAATAAATATAATGGGGTGTGGGGTGTGGTTGTGGATCTTCTCTTCAACAAAACCCACACCCACACCCAGATTGCAATACATATACTATGAATCTCGAGAAATTTAGGTTTTAAACAGAACTTCAGAAAGTATGAAATATTCGGAAACTCATTTTAATACGTTTCAGAACATATTCCAGAATGATTTTAAACTTCACATAACATTTATAAAAATTTTCTACAACAATACCAGAGAGACATTGCTGAAACTCACAAAATACTATAAACTAATCCGAAGTATTCCTGTCATTTCGGTTTTTTTTGTGACAAACTTCATAGCATCATTGAGCTCATTTACATGTCATAACTAGACTTGTGTTAAACCTGAACACTTGAATCTTATGAATTTCCTTCAATATTTGTTGACTCGAATTTAGGCACTTTTTTCATGCTCATTTGTACGTAAGAAAAGTTGCCCATCAATTCCCGATCATTTGAGTTCAATTCGATTGCGAACTTTTTTACTAAGCTCTCATAAGTCGTTCAGGTGATTAAAGCTTCACACACTTAATTATTTTACATAATTTCTAACTGCGACCGTCAGACAGAAGAGAAGATGATGATGAAATATAAATAACTTTAATCATTCTGGAAAATATGATTATCTTCGAGAAAAATTTTTATTAGGTGAGCTAATCAAAATTAACATAATTCAAAAGTCGGTTTACTTTAATCCAGCCTAGGCCATTTTCAGCGCGGATAGATGAGTTCTTGACATTATTGACATCTATAAAAACAAACATAGGTAATCAAATAACTAAGTTCAAAAACAAGTCACATTTAATATTTTTCATACTACAAATCTGTTTCGTTCACGTCATCAAAATTAAAGATGAGCGATTAAGTAGTGTCAGATAGAAAATAACAATATATATCATATAAAGAAAGTTCTTGATAAGAGATAAAGAAGAAAAAATAAACATAACATCTTAACTAGAAAAAAAAATGTAATCTAGTTTTGATCAATTACGTTCATACCCTTTTTCATGTTCAGTTATAATTATTAGAAAGAACCACTTAGCTTTACTACTCAAGAAAAGATGACTCATAAATAATTATGCTCATATTAGAATATATCATTTTTGTTCTCATTTGTTCATTGACAAATTCGACAACTTGTCGAATGTTCTATTCTCGTTCTCTCTCATTCTCTTTCTTTTCATATTGGACGATCATTCTTCATGACGTCACACTTCTAACCAATTATCAGAAAAAGGTCAACATTGAAATAGTTGATAGTATAAATAGCTATGTAACACGTAAGAAATGTCGCCATTTATCATGACTGAACAACGATCGTGTTTTGAGCATTTATCTGCTGAAATATTTCATCTTATCTTTGATTATCTTGCTCCTCATGATTTACTTCGTGCCTTTAAAAAACTCAACAAACGATTTACAACAATACTTACTCAACAACCATTCTACTTACCTAGTAATCGACATATGAATTTTAAATTGTATCTTCGTTATCTGACCAAAATTATACCAAAACATACTTCACAATTCGCTTATCTTCATTTATCCGAACGACGTGCTCCACATGCACTTGATTTATTCATTTCAGAAGTATCTCTTGATAAATGGGCATGGCCCAAACTGCAAGCTGTCACCATTGAAGATGTACCATCTCTGCTTTTTGGAACACTATTAGGTGACGATTCATTCTTGTCCAATATTCACTCACTATCATTCGACATTGGTGATGATCGATATTATCATTCTCAATACGAACAATTTACTGATTTTAACATTGTAATTCCATTTCTGAATTACTATCCTCAATTGCGTTCACTCTGCTTGCGTATTGGCAATCGCCTTTGTCAAAATTACTTTTCTCTGTTTGATCAACATTGTCCTCGAATCAATATCCATCAGAATTTACAAATACTCACTATACATGAATGTTCAAGAGAGCTTCTCATCAAGCTCCTCAACAATGGTTATTTACTACGATTACGTCGACTCAGTGTCACCATCTCTTGGTAAGTCACATAGACTCAGAAAGAAACAGTAAACGAAAATTTTCTTTTCCATTGCTTTGCTAGTGCTTTCGCCGATCTTGGCATCGAGCCACCAAATACAATGCCACTGCAACAAGTCATTGTACCTGAATTATGTTACATCAGTATTAAACTCAGTGTTGGTGTCATCTGAGTTTTAAACTTCTTCGAAGATCTTCAACGTCATAGTCAACTGGAACGCTTGAGAATATCGGGTGACATAAAAGCCGGTGGAAAAGATAGTCTTCCACGAGTGGCTCTACTACGACAATGGTTGGCATTGACCAAATCGAAAACATTTAGATTTCAAATGAAATTTGGCATGTATCACGTTCCCAATCGTGAAGAATGCAGTGATGATCTTTATGCCGAATATCGACAAGCAACCGGCAATCCATCAACGGCAAATTATGAGCAAATGTATTTTCGTTATCCATAAATGACACTTTCGAATCTTACGACAATCAAAAACAATAATTGCGTTCCAGATGAGCCTATCGATGAAAATTGTCAAGAAGTAAGAAAATGAATACAAGTTAATAACTTCTAGGAACAAGAAAATCTATTTCTAGATGGAAATTTACGAATTGGATTATGTTAAAGATGAAGTAATTCAACAATTAGAAGCAGTACCATGTTGGCATCGTCTTAGAAAAATCAATCTCGAAGGAGACTTTCCAGATGATAAGTAAGTTTTCTTTCGAACTTCATCGTTGATCTCAATTATACTCTTTGAAACAATTTAGTGGTATTGTCGGTGAAAACATTGCACATTTACTTCATATTGCAAAACGTTCGCCAAATTTTCATGAACTTTACATCAAATCAGATCTTGATTTTGGTCGTGTCCTTTCTTCGAACATTGAACTCGGCATTTTACTCTCATCTCAAATTGAAATATTATATTTTAAGACAAAAGATGCTGACTGTTCACTCAAGGATCTTGTTCGAATTGTGGACAAACTTTTCAGTCATTCTACATCGACGCCTCATCTGAAACAATTAACACTCAACATTGATGGGCATCCAGATGTATGGCTTACTACTCGCCATTTGATTCGTTGGCTTGAAAAAGTGTTCAAACGTTTTCAAGAGCTCATTCATTTCACGTTGTACTGTCAATATGAGGAATTTCTTCAAGATTCTCCCATTAGTTTATCTGAATTGGCTTCAGAATCGTCTGTCATGTCATCGCTCTCTCGACCAAGAAGAATTGGTTCATTAAGTTATCGATACAAGCCACATTCATTGGACATTTGGTTGTAAACAAGTTATTTTTTTTTTGCAAATAAATATAACATTTAGAATGAAAATTCAATAGTTCTTTTATGTGACTGATCAATTTGAACAGTCATATAAGCGTATAAGTCTTTGATACAGGTTCTGCTATTAATATTCTGTCATCATTTGCTCTATTTTCGATTAAAAACTATTAATCTCATGTCTCGGACAATGGTAATTTGTTTTTTCATCGATTTATTTTTGATTTGTACATTAGTATAGTATGATGACGATTATCGACGTAATAAAAACAAATTCCTCCTCTTTTCTATTGTTTTAGATTACTTTTAGTATTTCTGTATTCGTCACAAAACTGAGAACCAATTCGTATTGTTTGCATTGCATTGTAGGGAAACATTCGATGATCAATCGAACTTTCAGATTAAGACTGAAAACAAAATTGTCAAAAGTAATCCTATGACCGAATATTTTTTTTTGATTTGCTCTGAAAGAAAGAAAATGATTCGAACAAAATTTAGGTTCTACTGATTGTTCTGTGGAAAAAGATTGATTTCAAGAAATAAAAATCAAGTGTGTTGACAACATGATACTATTGTATCTCTGTATTTATTGATTAGACTTTGAAGAGCTCGATTTTCGATCGAATTAATATCTTATCGATACCCTAAACCGCAGCCAAGATCATTTTTAAATCGATATGATCGAGCAACTTCATGATAAATGAAATGATATCAGGTATTCCTTGCTTGGAGATCTGTTGTTTGTAGAATTTGTCCTCCATATTGTGTTCTTTTACTTGCGATAGATATAAACTGGTTTCTTTTGACTGAGCCGAGATGAACGAAATATTGTCTGAAGATTAGTGCTTAAAGTTAGAGACATGAAGTTGAATATGAACGAATCATTTGTATTGAGAAAAGATCTGAATTCCAATTGGTGCCAAATATTATGACCTGATAGACCGAAAACGGATTCAGTTCCAATACACCGGCTGTTTTTCAGGTAAGAATCAAGCGACTACGAGATAGATTGACATTATTGAAGAGCTTTACGTCATTTGATCTTTGCAAGAAACAGACAAAATTTGGAATCGAAGAGTAACAAATATGAATTACTATCAGTTTAGAAATATTCAATATCCTTGATTCAATAAAGCGATGACAATTATTTATCTCAAAGATTTTCACTCGTGTGTGTTTCATTTAATGTTTTTAATGATAAATTGTAAACAGTCATATTATTTCATACGAATTTGTTCTGTCAGAATACAAAAGCAAGCTTCTAAATGAGTAGAAAAATTCCAACATTTCAACATATATGAAGCGATTTTGTCATTTTTTTTTTGATTAATGAGGAAGAGTTTAATATCCTGAAGCATCTTCAAATCACCCAAGATTTACTTTTTCTTTGTTTTAAGTTTTAAATTTCACTTTATTTTAGTGCTACGAAGTTGAACTGTTTAAAGTACTGATCTAAAATACCATCGCTTTTTTTCCATATAATACATGTATCGAATGTGTTTTTGTCAATAAGATAACGTTTGTCTGAAGGTTTTCAAAAGCACAGAAATCAATCAGTATTGGATTTTTCAGGTCAATAGAGATATTGCTCACCATTTGGCGAAAAAGAAGAAGAATTAGGGTGAATTGATTGAAAAGATCAGTTTTCACTAGATGCGTACAACATCAGAGACAATAATAAATTTTTCACATTAACAAAATGCATGAGAGATTCTATTATCTATACGGTATACTGACATTGATATTTGAAGGAGATCTTGAGCGAAAAAAATGATTAATATAGACTAGAAGATGATGACGAAAGCGAGAACAGATACATTATAAACAGCTAGAGAGAAAACACAGAAGAAGTAGAACTATCAAGGATTCAAAAATGGGTACTATCTCATGTAAAGAAAAAAGAGAAATGAGATATAGTTAGCTGTTCAAGAAATAAAAAGAAAATATTGTTTATGTCGAAAAAAAAGAAATGGTTTTCAATAATCTCCATCTCGTGACTCAGAACTTTGGTCTACAATCTTGATATTTGCACTTCAGTTAGGCTTCATTATTACCTATCTTTCAATGAAACCAAAATGCAAATCAGATATTGTTTTTTTTTCTAGTAAACTACTTGTTCGTATGATGAGATGCAAGTGTTTCAATAATTTTTTTGAGTAATGGCATATATATCAAAGTTGTGAAAGAATAAAATTCTAAAAATGCTGTCAATCTCTTCAGCGATGGCAGTGAATTAACATAGATAAGTTATTTTCCTGCGTCATTCGGAAGAGGTAGTGATATCATTGAATGATAAGTAAATAACGTAAAGTATTCAATTGAAATTCTTGTTCATAATGTATTTATCAAATCAAATCGGTCAAAGAAAACAAGAATCTTTGTTTTCAGAAGTTCCTTCTGAAATGTGTTCATTTAAAACAGCATTATTTAGACTTTCTTTATCCGTTGCTATTGAAGAATTTTGCTTCTCCAATCCAATTTTATTATGTATCATCAACTTATTTTTCAAACTTTATCTAAAAATATCTGTAGACTAGCTTAAAATAAAAATAAAGATGATATTCAAATAATAGTTAGTTCAGCCACTTTTTTTTTGTAATCAGTGTAGGTTTTCAAATATTTTCAAACAATTGAGTTTTCAATATATATTTAGCTCAGCATTAGCAATCAGAGATGTGTATCGTGCGTAAAAAACTAGGTGAGTACAGTACGAAGGTCGATCATGGTCACGAAACATCGGTGAAGTCGACCATTACCTTAAAATCTTTTCGCTCAGCCATCGCATCTCACAACAAGTAGAAATTCTTTCCCGATATTTTTCCGTGTCCGTTGTGCTATTATATTTCTTGAAAATAGTGTTTCATTTCCAAACACTCACGTAGGAACAACAATATAGGTTTTAAAACATCACGAATGAACATTTAATTAAAAACTATGTATACAGACGTATAATGAATAGCATATAATGAATAGACCTTTCTTCTTCTATATTTTCGAGAACCTTAAAAAGTTTCTAGAAACATGACTTTTAAAGACAAAAAAAAAAAGAGTATTTTGCTTTTACAAGAATATTAAGTCCGTAGACAAAAAAAATATTGTTTTCATATGTAAACATACTAAGCAGAAATATAAGGAAAGAAAAAGAAATTACATCATCGACTGACGAAAGAAAAAGGTGCAGTGTACATTAAATATAATATTAGATGGAAATCGTAGCTTCCAAATTGCGAACAAAAATTAAGCCAATTAAGAAAAAAGTATTCGCAATTCGGAACACAGAAAATAACGCTAATCTTATTTTTATTGCGTTTCCAAATTGCGAACACTTTTAATAATTAAGTAATATAGTTTAAATTAGAAAAAAATTTATTAACAACAGAAATACATAACAAAAAAACCTATTCCTCATCACTACTATCTTTGGCATCTTGTATAACATCTATATAATGATGAAAAATAGATCTTAAAACTTTTTAATAACCATGAAAATCTTTATCTTGAATATATAGTGTTTGATTTGATAATTGTATTGTCTGTTAAAGTTATAGTACGAAAACAAGATTTGAAAGTACATATATACATAAATGAACCGTTCTTGTTCTCACGTTTCAACCCATATAAATGATTATTATATAAGATAGCCTTTTCACCTCTTACAGTTGTTGACCAAGTAAAATTTGTATTCATACTTTGAATTATGATATCATTCTTATTCTCAAACTTCTATATTTATATTATTAATAAAATTGAACTCATAATCAGCTATTGCAATTACTAATTAATCAAAGTGTTCGCAATTTGGAAACGCAATAAAAATAAGATCAACGTAATTTTTGTATGTTCCAAATTGCGAACATTTTTTTCATAATTGGCTTAATTTTTGTTCGCAATTTGGGCATAGCCGTGCATATATTAGTCCGTAATGCAATGAATCATTATTAATGTAATTGAATATCAAATTGAGACTATCCAAATTAATACAGTAGATCACTCATGTTGATTATTCTCTGATGAGACAATCGTTGGAAGAATTCAGTGAAAACTCTAGGTGAGCAAACAGAATTCATCAGAGAGTGATCAGTTTTTCTTTACTTTTATACACTTCGTTTTTTAGCTCCGCGTGTTAGAACAGTAGAAATGAATTGATAAGGGGGTTTTCTTCTTGATTCTTCTCTACTAAAATAAAATAACAAATAAGACGGCAAATGACCACGTGAAGGTAATCGAAATGAATACTTCATGTAGAGTAGAATTGACGAAAAGAAAAATGGTGACATATGCCTTAAAGAAAAGATAGAAACCAAATAGAAAAAAAAAGATTTTGATCTACTTGAATAAGAGAAGAATGAAGAAATGAATAAAAACAAAAAATTCATTCGAATTTTTTCAAAACTAAAAGTCTCTAACAATGCGTAGGATAAATAGTTTCAAGTATTCGACATGATTGAGGCATATATTAGAAATGAAATAGAACAGTCAATGATTCACTCGGCATTATTTCATCTATTCCTAATGACGCATAAAAGTTCGTCTTTCTTCGCCTGAGTACTCGGCTTCTTTTCTCCAGTTATGAATAATGCTGAAAAAAAAAGTGTGCTTATTCACACGACAATTCTCTTTCTTTTCTGTAGAAATTTTATTACATTTTTACAACGTATTATATACTATATGGTTGGAAAAATTCAACATAGTTATGACTCATAAACATTAGCGAGCTGAGACCGGTAGCGAGTCGCTAGGCAGGTGGGGAAGCCAATAGAATTTGAGAGAACGAAACAAAAATTATTTCGTTCTCCTGAATTTGATTGGCTTCCCTCACCTGCCTAGCGAATCGCTAATGGTCTCAGCTCGCTAATACTCATAAACAATTGTCAACTACACGAAAAGAAGATAAATAAAGTATTGATAAGCATTTTTCAACTATTGTTTACTACAGCCAACAACAAATTTCATTTCAACACAACAGAAAAGAAAAAAACGAATAGAATGATGATCGACCGTCTT